TCGCGTGCGTGCCAACTCTCTCGACGGTGCGGTGCGGTGCGGCTTGCCGTGCGCCTTGCGTGTTGCCTGCGATAGCTCGGACGTGCGATAGTTTGCGGTAGCCTCCTCTCCAAACTACTCTCTCTCACTCAGAAATAAAAGTATAAGGGCTGAACTTATGCTGAATATATGTGTGGAGAAAGATGGAAATTTTCCTCCCAACACTTCCTTATATATGGCACCGAAATGGAGAGGCTTTAAGATGAGGTTATCTTAACTAATGACACTTGTAACAAGCATAAATAATGCTTAAATGACTAAGAACTTATTTGCTTAGGAAGGTGCCACGTTAAACTCCTTAACCATGAAGAATAATTTTGACAAAATTCCCACTTCTTACTTAACTTAAGCTTACGGCATTTGACATAGTTGGATATAAATTCCATACGGTTTTTTGCTTAATTATGTGGTTAACTTACTAATTAACCACTTAAACATGTTTAATTATTTAATTAAACATAATGCTTAATTACCAAAATTATTTCAAACGTAAACGGTACGTCGAAAATAATTTCCGGTAATTTCGACTGAACTGACTGAGAATAATTAATTCCGAAAAATAATATCGGAATTAAGAATGTAATTTATACTGATAAACTAACGGGATATTACAATCCTCCCTCCTTACAAAATTTCCGTCCTCGGAAATTCAAAACATGGCTGAATATACATGACTATGTACATAGGATAAGAAATATGTACATCAAAACTGAAAATCTAGAAAACGAGCGCGAATATCGGACTCCGCCTCCCAAGTAGCTCCGTGGCGATCCCACTGAATACGCACGAGGGGAACATCTCGCTTCCGGAGCCGACGAATCTGACGGTCTAGTACAGCTACCGGTCGCTCCTTGTATGAAAGATCTGGCTGAACCTGAATATCTGAATGGGGAATGACATGATCGGAGTCGCACACGTACTTACGCAACATCGATGCGTGAAATACATTATGAATGCCTGATAACTCGGGAGGTAGGGCTAATCGATACGCGACCTCGCCTACTCGCTCGAGAACCTCGAACGAACCGATGAACCGATGGTGCAGCTTCCCTCTCTTTCCGAATCGCACAACTCCGCGAATCGGACGAACTCCTAGAAAGGCTGGCTCGCCAACCTCGAACTTAATGTCTCGTCGATGATGATCGGCGGAAGATTTCTGTAAACTCTGAGCTGTTTTGAGTCTCTGCCGGATCAACTCGACCTGATCTGCTGTCTACTCGATCAACTTAGGACCGAGTACTCGTCGCTCTACGACGTCGTCCCAATAAAGAGGGGAACGACACTTGCGACCATAAAGTGCCTTATAAGGAGCCATCTGAATGGAAGAATGATAACTATTGTTGTACGCGAACTCCGCATACGGCAACAATGACTCCCACTTAGCACCCCTGTCAACAACCAAGGCGCGAAGCATATCCTCAAGCGTCTGAATAGTCCTCTCGGACTGACCAACTGTCTCCGGATGGTAGGCTGAACTGAACTCTAGCTTTGTGCCCATCGCCTCATGTAAACTGTGCCAGAATCGACTAACGAATCTGGGATCTCTGTCTGATACTATAGTAACGGGAACTCCATGGAGTCGGATGATCCCACGGGTATAAATCTCAGCCAACTTGTCCAGAGACATCTTGATCGAAACGGGTAAGAAATGCGCGACCTTAGTCAATCTGTCGACCACCACCCAGATAGCGTCGTGATGTTCAGACGACCTCGGTAATCCCGTAACGAAATCCATCGTGACTTCCTCCCACTTCCACCTCGGAATCGGCAGTGGCTGCAGGAGGCCGATCGGACTCTGATGTTCGGCCTTGACTTGCTGACAGGTAAAACACCTTCTGACAAACTCGGCGACGTCCTTCTTCATACCTCGCCACCAAAACGACCCTTTTAGGTCGTGATACATCTTCGTGCTCCCGGGATGGGCTAGATAGGGTGTAGTATGAGCCTCTGATAAAATCTCTTTCCACAACGCCTCGACCTTCGGGACCACGATCCTGCCTCTGAACTCTAGGGCACCATCGGCACCTAGCTGAAAACCCTCGACGCCTCCGGCGCGAGCCTTGGCCTCCATGACACGAATGAACTCATCAGAAGCCTGCTCTCGCCGCATTCTCTCTCTCAGCATCGGCTGAAGCTGTATGGCACTGACACTGGCACTGGTACTCCCCGAAACTGCTATTGGAAGTGCATCAAACGCCTGAAGCTGCATCCTGGCAAACTCCTGAATCAATGGACTCTGCTGAGTAATGACGTACGTCAAGTCACCCCTCACTTTTCGGCTTAGGGCGTCAGCAACGACGTTCGCCTTCCCCGGATGATACTGAATAGAGCAGTCGTAATTCTTGACGAGTTCTAACCAACGGCGCTGTCTCATGTTGAGCTCCTTCTGAGTAAAGATATACTGCAAGCTCTTATGATCTGTGAAAATCTCACAATGACCGTCGTAAAGATAATGTCGCCAAATCTTGAGAGCATGAACGACTGCTGCTAACTCCAAGTCGTGCGTCGGGTAGTTCTGCTCATGCGGCTTAAGCTGACGTGAAGCATACGCAA